TTGGAGGTGGAAGGAGGCGCTTGGAGGTCTCTGGAGTATTCCCGGAGAAATCCCCGCTCTCCAAAGCGTTCCTGCGGCATCGCAGCGGCAACGGGACGTGCGCGTCCCTTACACGTCCTTGCCCCCATTAAACACCAGTAACCTCCCCGGCCCTGCACATCTCATCTGCGATGTCCCCGGGCACGGGACACGGRGGTGACACGCGGCGGCTGTCGCTATCGAGGCTGCTAACAGCGCCGGCGTGCTCCGGATCCCTGCAGCTCCAGATAAGCGGAGCAGGGAGCTGCCGGAGGACCCGGAAGGAAAGCGATAGTWTTTAAAAATTCATGCTTGCGGTAACGCTCCCGCTCAGGTGTAATTAAACACAGAGCCTCGAGCGGAGCCGCGTCTTCTGTCGGAGCACCTGATTTGGGTGTGATTACTGGGGTTCTTAATTATTATTATTAAGTTTTAGCACCAAGGGCTGCGGGAAACGCACTTGCCCCCGTCCCCACGCCACGCCTGTGGCGCAAATTAGGGGGCTTAATGATTTCCGTAGCAATTAATGCCGGGAGTCAGCCCAGCAAACCTCGCGTTCACGTCGGGCTTTCTAGTTCATGCAATTCATGCAATTCCGCAGGTTTCTGGATGAAAATGCACGTTGTGCCCACCCGTGTTCCCCGCAGCACCGATCCGGCACCCTCTCTGCTCGGAGATTTCCCTCRCCCCTTTCCGCACATTCCAGTTATTCTTGCAATAAACGGATTTCAGTTATTATTGCAATAAACGGGGGCACTAAGACTTTTATCTTAATATCTTAAAGCCATTCCCRCCGGCCAGGGCTTTTCCATGCTTGGATAGCGCTGCCTGGCACGATTCATCCTGCACGGCCCCCAATTTCCACTTGTTCTCGGCAGAAAGGGAGGAATTGCTATTTTGCAGCTGGAAAGGAARTTTTTAAGGGGGATTTTGGAGTTTTTTTCCATCCCCTCTGCCTTTCTGAACATTTTTCTCCCTTCTTTTCCTCAGCAGATGAATCCCGGATTTTCCTATCCCAACTGAGAGCCATCTCCAGGTACCAGGAGCGCGGGCGTGAACCATCGGAATCAGACCCGGAGCAACCACACGGGGAGCTGGATTTCCCTCAGCTTAATGACACTTCCCGGGTTTTTGTGGGATTTGGAGGATTTTGCAGACAATTGGTGCATTTTCCCCTGGCTGTTGCCAGCACCCGGCTCCACAAGCGGGATCCGCTGGACTCTTGCCATGGATGCTGCTTCCACGGCCCTGGAATTCCATCTGGGGTTATTGGAGGGGTGGTAGTTGATGAAGCACGTTAAGAACTGGACTTTGAGGGAAACAGGACTGCCGTTCCCTGCGGAATTCCGGCTTTCACGGAGYATCAACCGGGAGCTCCGCACCCCTTCAATACAACCGAGCTAACACCCATTTTAATGGCTGCTTAATTAGATTTTCCATAGGGAAATTTGCGCGGAAGTTGCATTTCTGCTTCCAGAGCCTGAGAGGGTAGCAGGGATTCAATAAAAATGCAAATAAAATATTACGAGGAGGAAACCAYGGCTGGTTTGTTTTCGCTGCTTGGTGCCACTTGGGTTGGATGGATGGATCCAGGGATGCCTCTTTTCACATTCCCAAAACACTGTTTTTTTGGGGTATTTTTTGTATTTATTCCATCGCTGGGAGAGTTTGCTCCAAGGTTTTTGGGTATCCAAGAAGAGGCCAATAAATTGTTCGAAAAGGGCTATTTTTGTGTAGCTTGAAATGGGGCTGATTTTACCAAATGGGGTGACCTCTCCAAGCCACCATGTGTCCCAGCCACTGTCCCTATCCCGAGCCCCCTACTCACTTGTCCCTCTCATTCCCGAGCACTTTTCCATACTTCCCACCCCTCCTCCTGCAAATCCATGCCTTTTCCAGATGCTGATTTTGATTTTATTATTATAGTTGCACTTTTTGCTGCTGCAAGGAGAGGGATTCCTCCTCACCCCCACCTTGGAAATGAACCCTCCCTCCGGAGTTTCTTCCTGGTTTTTCTGGATGAAGAGCAAAAGGCAATTGCRTAGACCAGGGGCATTTCATTTGTCTAAAACCCATAAAAAAGTGCTTTTATTAACCRTCCTTTTTAACCTCAAAATGGGAGGATGCACCAACCGATGGCAAGAAAACCCTAGAAACCCTCCAGAACCGAATCCCAAGGACGGTTTCCTTCCTAAATCCATTTTTTTTTGGTGTAAAGAGGAAGGTTGATGAAATTACCTTTGATTGGCAGCTTTAAATTGCGGCTCCTTTCTGCAGCCTTCCCGTGCAGGCTGGGAACGGGCGGCTTGGGATTAGGGCCGTTAAATTACCCGGTTTATTGGGGAAATAAAGTATYGGGAGCAGATGATGATGGAAAGAGCTAGGAAGGCAGAGCGAAAGGGTGTTAAAAAATGATTCCACTAAGGCAGGGAAGGGARTAGAGGAGCACGGCAAGCAGTGACACGTAAGCGACGCTCTGAAGGCGGCGGTGCTGCTGAAACGCAGAGGTGTGAAGGCGACGGCGGAGGAGCTGGATATTGCCAAGAGCCTCCAACGGGCTGCGTTTGCTGAAGGCCACGTCCTGGGGATGAAAACGGGAAAAAAAGAAGCGGGAAGGAGGTGCTCTGGGGCATTACGGGTGTCAAAAAGTGCTTTTTATGGGTAGGATGGGGCAATAATGGGTGCTGGGAAGCAAGCCAGGCTTGCGGAGGATGGAGGGTGGTCTCGCAGCCATCTCGCCTCCCTCCTTCCCTCCAGCAAGCACCTGCAAGGCCGTGGGAGCAGATGCAGTTCTCCCATCTCCTGYGGATCCTGGAAATCGTCTCTCCCGGTCCCCTCGAGCCTCCTTAAAGGAAGCAAATTGAAAACCGCACCCCAAAGGCTTGCGGGCAAAGCCAGACACAGGAGACCTGGCTGCTTCCAAAGAGCCCTTTCCATGGCCTGGGAACACTGTGAGGGAGGGATGGAGAAATTCCCCGGATTGCCCGTCCGGATAAACGCGGCAGCGGCGCGAGCTCCCGCCTGCTGACTGCCTCTCCCGGGGGGGCATTTCCAGGGAAAGGGCCCCGGTATCAGCCAAAGGCGCAGGGAAGAGCGCAGGAATGCGCTTGCTCTCCCGGGAAATCCCTGCTCGGGTCCTGTTGCCATTGACAGCCTGATAAATATTTTGGGCAGATGCTACAACAAAGCGCAAATGAGGGAAACAAGATGGAAATCCAACCCAAACACCAGATTGCGCACAGATCATTTCTCCTGATAGCAGCAAAGGCTCCTGCAAGCAACTGGCTCGCTGAGATTTATCCCCATTTTTTCCGCCTGCATTTCTATAAAAGCAGCAATATTTTGGCAACCCGCATCCTGGCGGGGTTGGCATCGCTACAAGCATCGTGCTGGGACGGGGGCATCTTTCTGCATCCGTCAGTTTAATGCGGAGAGAGGATTTTAGTGCAGGGATGGTTCTTTTATGGCCAGTTCTTGCTCGCATGCAGAGCTGCATCATCCCCAAATTCCCTATAAACCCGAATTTTTCCAGCAGTCCAGCTCCACCTGGGGGTGGATTTTTGAAAAGCTCCAGCATCCGTCAGTTTTTGTCCTGAGATTTCTTGGAGGGTTGAAAGAAGAGGAATCTGCCTGCTCAGATGCAAGGAGCATCTTGGAATGGGTGAGACCATCTCCTCCGGATAGATAACGAGGGAGAAAAACGAAGAAATTTGGAGAAATCATCTGGGAATCTAATTAGGAGACGTGTCTCCAAATGGGAACCCTCTGGCTGCGTCGGATGCGTCCAAGCCTGGTCACGGCTGAGCGGAGCAGCCGCGTTCGGCATCGGATTAACTCATCAGCACGGGCCCCGAACCTRATTGCATTTGAAAGGCTACGAAATTCCACTTCCCTGCTCATTTTCCAGGTGGCAGGATTCGCCGTGGAGCTCTCCGTTTTGCACTGCTCCCGTTTAACTGAATTTGACGGGAATGGCGGTGTTGCCGGGCGGATGGTGGGATGCGGGCAGGGAGCGGAGAGGGGAGGACAAGGGCACCTGGACCRGGAGACGGAGGGAGATTGCAATGGGATGCAGGCAGGGGTTGCATTGGGATGCAATCAACCCATCTGCCTGCCCATGACCACTGAAAGAAACCATTTCCAGGTTTTTTTACTGAAAAAAAAAGCCCTGAAATTACAAGCACCAGGCCCCTAGCCGGCTGCATTTCGCTGATTCTAGGAAACTCTTCTCCAAAGCAGCAAGCTCTTCCTCGCCCCAGCCAATTTCTTGGGCTTATTTGCGGCGAAATGTCACCCTCTCAGACGAAAGGAGGGGATTTATCGCGATTAAGGGAAGCAGTGGCGGGTTCTTTCAGGTGAAGCCGGCGTGCTTTGTGTGCTGCATCTCCCCAGGGTTTTGCTGGAGCCACAGGATCCGCGTGCAGTTTATAACGCCCGTAAACCACGCGCTTGCATAATTTTTATTGCCACCAGCGACGCTCGCTGCGGACGGGACGAGCGTTCAGCGCATGGAGGACAACGAAGAAGGTTTATGAGGAGAAAATGTCCACGTGTAGACATGGTGCATTGGGCTGCCAGGCACTGGGTATCAGCATGGCATAATTGCCTGGAAAATGMGCCATAAAGCAGGGCGGATACTCAATAAACTCCATGCGATCGTCTGGAGGCGGCACAGAAAGTGCYGGTGGTGCCGAGATTTGCTGGGGGGGTTGGGTTGTGTCACGTTGGGCCTGGCTGCTGCCGCGTCCCGGCTCTCCACACGCTCGTGGGAGGTTGCGGGGAGCCCTTCCCGGCAGCACGAGGTGCAGAAAGGGCGCAGGTGGACACGGGTGTAGGTGTCTGCATCTTGAGAGCTCCCTGCTGAGCCCGGGCTCCGTGATTTTGGTGCTGGAGATCACCATGGGAGGGGACATGTGATGGAGATGGGGATGTGGGTGAGATGGAGATGGAGATGGAGATGGAGATGGAGATGGAGATGGAGATGCAGATGCAGATGCAGATGCAGATGCAGATGGTGAGGAACTAGAGATGGAGATGCAGATGCAGATGGAGAGGGTGATGAGATGGAGATGCAGATGGAGATGGTGAGGAACTAGAGATGGAGATGCAGATGGAGGGGGTGATGAGATGGAGATGCAGATGCAGATGCAGATGGAGAGGGTGGTGGAGGTGGAGGTGGAGATGCAGATGGAGATGGTGAGGAACTAGATATGGAGGTGCAGATGCGGCCCCAAATGCAACTGCAGCTGCAGATGGTGATGAGACACCGGTGGAGGCACAGATGCACTTGGAGATGACATGCAGATGCAGCTGGAGATGGTGAGGAGATGGAGCTGGAGATGGAGAGGAAATGGAGAGGAGATTGACATGAAGATGGTGAGGAGATGGAGCTGGAGATGGAGAGGAAATGGAGAGGAGATTGACWTGAAGATGGTGAGGAGATGGAGCTGGAGATAGAGCTGGAGGTGGAGAAGCAGATGGTGAGGAGATGGAGCTGGAGATGGAGAGGAGATTGAGATGCATCTGCAGATGGGGATGGCATGAGGTGGAGCTGCAGATGCAGCTGGCAACGGTGCCGAGAAGGCCGTGGAGATACGGATGGAGAAGCGGATCAGACGGTCCTGCAGCCGCAGGCTCCTGGTGCAGCGGCAGCCGGGCAGGTCGGGCTGTGACCTGCGCTGGGGACCGGCAGCTCGGGGTGGCCGCGCAGCTCGGCCCCGCGGTGCCGGGGGCAGGGGGCAGCGCGGGAAGGTGCCTGGTGAGCCCTGTTCCAGAGCAGGGAACATAGGGGGCAGCGCGGGAAGGTGCCGTGCACCCTGTTACCGGGGCAGAGTGGGGAGCACGGGGGGCACCGCGGGAAGGTGCCATGCACCCCGTTACCAGAGCAGAGCAGGGAGCACGGGGGGCAGCATGGGAAGGTGCCGTGTGCCCCATTCCAGAGCAGAGCGGGGAGCGCGGGGAGCAGTGCGGGAAGGTGCCGTGCGCCCCATTACCGGAGCAGAGTGGGGAACGCGGGGGGCACTGCAGGAAGGTGCCGTGCGCCCCATTCCGGAGCAGCGCGGGGAGCGCGGGGGGCACTGCGGGAAGGTGCCGTGCACCCCATTACCGGAGCAGAGTGGGGAACGCGGGGGGCACTGCAGGAAGGTGCCGTGCGCCCCATTCCGGAGCAGCGCGGGGAGCGCGGGGGGCACTGCGGGAAGGTGCCGTGCACCCCGTTACCGGAGCAGAGTGGGGGCACCGCGGCAGCCGCTGCGTCACCGGGCGCGCTCGGCCCACGCGCCCGCGGCCTCCGTGGCCGCCAGCGCTGCGTGCGGCCGGCCGGGCGTCACCGCGCGCCCTGCCCTCATTCGGGACAAAGGCACCCGGAAATCCTTGCCGTCCTTTTAATGACATGCAAAACATATACAAAAACACTCATGCAATATCTAAGGTTAACCCCGCCGGAGGGCAGTGCCAGGCAGTTTCAAGCAGCTGAAGGTAACTGGGTTTTGCTGCATCCAGACTCGGCCGGGAGGAGCGAGGCTGAGGCCGTCCGAGAGGCTGTGGTGGCTGCAGCCTCCCCCATGCACTCCGGGCTCGCCTTGCCCTGGGATTGCCTTTTCCCAGGAAATGACCCCCTGGCCTGGGCGGGAGGGGCCGGAGCCGCATCCTGGCTCCGAGCCTGGCTCGGCCGCTGCCGGGGAGGCCGGAAACGGGACGTGCAGGAGAGACTCGCGGGGCGCCCGGCAGCGCCGGAGCCGCTGGAGCCTCCCTGCGTGCAGAGCGGGGCGCTCCCATCGGGAAGGGGGCCGGCAATCGCGGAGCTTGCAGACCCCCGTGCTGACCCGGAGCCCGCGTGGAGGCTCCTGCCGCATCCCCGGCCTCCACCGTCCACCGATCCAGGGGGACGCCGCTCCGGGGACGCCCCGTGCAGCCAGCCTGGCTCCCCGAGAAGAATTAATGGAAAGGGTGGGCGCCGGGGCAGGAAGCGCCCGCGGCGGCTCCTTTCCTCCGTTTGTTGCCCCRGGGCCCGGCGCCGGCTCCGCGCCCRCCTCCCTCCGGCGCCTCCGCCACGCGGAGCGGGGATCCGGGAGACCCCTGGGAGCGGCACAGGCGGCGGGATGGAGCCGGGAGGAGCCGGGGGGCAGCGGCACCGGCAGCGCCCGTCACAGCGCCCTGTGCCAGGGAAAGCCGGCACGGGCCCCACGGCGCCATAAAAAACTACAATTATCCAAGCTGCCGAGTAATTTAAAGGGATGCTCTGCCCTCCCCGCAGCTTGTTTGTCATTCCTAGGAATTAATGGGAGCGGGGAGCTCGTCCTCCGGAACGGCTCCCRCGCGGCCGCGCTAAGCAGGGCCATGGGAACGGGCCCGTCCAAGCCGCGGGTTATTGGAGGCCGTAGTTATAAATAACCCCTCTYGGCTATTTTTGTGTTTGGTTATTTTAAATATTTGCTGCATCCTCTGTGACGATGGGGCTGCACAGCAGGGCTGAGCCGGGGGGCTCCCGAGCAGCCGTAATTCCCRCTGCTGCCGGGAATTATTTGTTTCCTAAATTGATTTTGGTGGCTGCAGTATTGCTAAGCGCGTGGCCGTCTTTTATTATACGGGAGAAACTAGCATTGGAAAAAGGGAAGAGGGGGATTTTTGTGGGCTCTAGGGMTGTAATTCCATGTTGGCATCGCGGTACCCGGTGTTCACGCCGGATCCAYGGGAAATGGCCCTGCTCCTCCGGGAGAACTGAGCAAGCGAGACAAGAAAATCCACATTACCTTTATAATTTATTAAACTTTCAAATTGTCATATGCAATAAATTATAGCTGGTAGAGTAACAGCATCGTCACGAAACAGTAACATGAAACACTTTTCTAACGCCTATTGTGCTCTATACAAATCAGAACTGGAATTATGACAGTGTGAATGGGAAGTGAACAAAATATTGAGGAACTTCACAGTAAACTCGGAGGAAAAAAAAAAGGCATTATTATTGCTTTTGTGCAAACGGTTTCTGCTGTACGCGCGTCCCCAGGGCAGGGRCGCGGGTGCTCAGCCGGTGTCCCCAGAGCTGCGTGTCCCCAGCTCGACGCGCCCGTTYGGGGCATTTGGTGCATTTTGACAAATGCAGGATTAAAAACGACCAGTGTCTGATCAGTCTGCGGGCTCCTGAGTCTGGAAAGCGGCACTGCCGAGGTCCAGGCGCCGGGAACGGCGCCACCAGGACCTCCAGGATGGAATATCTGGGGATGGGACCCCCAGGGTTGGCACCTCCGGGAACGGGATATCTGGGGATGGGGCCTCCATGGTCAGGACCTCTGGTGTCGGGACATCCCTGGCCAGTCCATGGTGCCGTTGCCGGGGCCTCTGTGTTGCCGATGTCGGGATGTCCATGGCCGGGACCCCCAGTGCCGCTTCCGGAGCCTCCATCCATGTGCTCCCGATGCTGGGACCTCCAATGCCAGTTCATGCCGCTGGTGCCGGGACCTCCACGGCTGGAGGCCCCTTCACGGCGGGCTCCTCCGTGCCCGGTGCCAGGATCTCCATGGCCAATCCCCGCCGCCAGGCCCTCCGGAGCCAGCCCCTCCACACGAGCTCCCGCTGCCGGTCCGGGCAGCTCCGCGCGCGCAGCTCCACATTCCCACGGGAGCGGAGCGGGACGCCTGCGAGGGCGGCTCAGCAGAGCTTGCGGGAATACCTGCGGAGCTGCAGGAACTGCAGCAGCTTGTCCTTCCTGCGCTGCGTGAGCGCCGTGAGCGCCCTCGCCTTCTCCTCCACGTCCTGCTCGCCGGCCAGGACGATGCGGGCGCGCTCCTCGGCGCGCTTGTCGCCGGCGGCGCGGAAGAGCCGCTGCAGAGCCTCCTGGCCCACGCTGGCGAAGATGTTGCCCGCCGCCTTCTTGCGCAGGGCCGTGTCGAAGCGGGCGCCGTGCACCGAGGGGCTCACGCGCAGCGACGTGGACATGGTGGCGGCGGCGGCGGCTCGCATGGACGGGGCGCGCGGGGCTGGGCGCCGCCAGCGCCCGCGTGCTTTTTAAGGGCCGCCCGGCCCGCGGGGCGCCGCTGACGCCGCCGGCACGGCGCTGATGTCAGCGCCCGCAGCTCCCCGCAGAGTTAACAGTTGAGCTGCCGGGCGGGCGGCGAGCGTGGGGGCACCGCGGAGCCTCCCGGGCGCCCTGACCACGCAACGGTGCTGCGAGAGCCCCTGCCTGTGCCAGCAGCCCCGGGCAGCTCTGGTTAATGCCCAGCACAAGGAGTCCCGGGGCAGCTCTGGTTAATGCCCTGTGCCAGCAGCCCAAGGGCAGCTCTGGTTAATGCCCTGTGCAAACAGCTCCGGGGCAGCTGTGGTTAATGCCCTGTGCCAGCAGCCCAGGGCAGCCTTGGTTAGTGCCCGGCACAAGGAGTCCTGGGGCAGCCCTGGTCAATGCCCTGTGCAGGCAGCCCTAGGGCAGCTCTGGTTAATGCYCAGCAGWAGTAGTCCCAGGCAGCTCCGGTTAATGCCCTGTGCCAGCAGCCCTGGGGCAGCTCCTGTTAGTGTCCTGTGCAGGCAGCCCTGGGCAGCTCTKGTTAATGCCATGTGCAAACAGCCCCGGGGCAGGTCTGGTCAATGCCCATCAGAAGTAGTCCTGGGCAGCTCTGGTTAATGCCCTGTGCCAGCAGCCCCGGGCAGCTCTGGTTAGCGCCCTGTGCAAACAGCCCTGGGCAGCTCTGGTTAATGCCCTGTGCAAACAGCTCAGGGCAGCTCTGGTTAATGCCCTGTGCCAGCAGCCCGGGGCAGCTCCGCTTAATGCCCTGTGCCAACAGCCCTGGGGCAGCTCCTGTTAGTGCCCTGTGTAAACAGCCCCGGGGCAGGTCTGGTCAATGCCCAGCAGAAGTAGTCCTAGGCAGCTCTGGTTAATGCCCTGTGCCAGCAGCCCCGGGGCAGCTCTGGTCAATGCCCTGTGCCAGCAGCCCAAGGGCAGCTCTGGTTAATGCCCGGTACAAGCAGCCCTGGGCAGCTCTGGTTAGTGCCCGGCACAAGGAGTCCCGGGGCAGCTCTGGTTAATGCCCTGTGCAAACAGCTCAGGGCAGCTCTGGTTAATGCCCTGTGCCAGCAGCCCCAGGGCAGTGCATGGAGCCCACAGGGCTCTGGTTAATGCCTGGCACAAGCAGCCCCATGGTGGTGCATGGAGCCCAAGGGCTGGTTAATGCCCAGCACCCGCAGCCCCAGGGCAGTGCACGGAGCCCACGGGGCTCTGGTTCCTGCCCCGGCGCTTTTCGTGAGCCCCATTACTCACGCTCRCCCTGCAGCCCCATTACTCATGCTCACCCCGGAGCTCGCCTCGGCCCCAGGATGTTTAACTAACGCCCACGGGGGGGTTCCCGTATTTACAGGAGATCCCTGGGACGCAGGCACGCAGCAGCCGCCGTGCCGATGTCCCCACGGAGAGCAGGCCTGGGCTCCCRACGGAGGCAGGAGCTGCACAGCAATAGGGAACGGGCACCAAAGGTCGCACCCTGCCACCCTGCCGGGACCTTTTCCTATCTCCCAGTTCTAAACGCGATTCCAAAGTGTGCGGCACACCCYGGGCGCGGCCTCTCGGCAGGAAAAAAAGCTGCTTTGGGTTCCCTCCTGTGCCCGTCTTGTTTCTTTACTGTTGTTGGGTGGAATTCGAGTGAATCAGCCCCAAAACAGGAGCTCTGCCGTGCTGGCCTCCCGTGAAGGAGCCTCCTGTTTTGCAGCCTCCCGTCGGGCTGAAATCCCAGGCTCGCGGCTGCAGCCCAGGGCTGCCAGCGCAAGGGAGCAGCCCTGACGTCCCCACTGCCAAAAACGGGACGTTCCAGAGCGTTTTGTTCCCCCCGGCCAGCCCGGAGCTCCCAATATTCCGGCCCAGCCGGCGGGATGTGGCGACGGATGCGCGAAGCGTGCGCGGAGCGAGCAGGAATGTCATTGTCCTGCGGTTCAAGGGGCTCTTCCCACGCAGTACGAATTTAGCTGCAGACCCAGCGAAAAAACAACCCGTCCGTTTTATTTTTTTCCAGGAATTTCGGTATAGATCAGTCATTGCRCGCCACGGCCCCGGTGACGCCTAGGAGGGATTAATCACGGCTGCGGCGCGCTGAGGTTTTGGGGACAGCGGCCGCCCGCGCTTGCTGGCRCCTTGGGGCTCCTCGGGTGCATCCAGGGCCGTGTCCCGACTCCCGAGCCTTCCCGGCCCCCCTTGGACACCCCCAGGGCTGGGAATTTGGAGCTGGGTTGATCGCAGGGCTAACGCTGCTGCCAGCCCCTGCCGAGACCATATAAGAGTAAAGCCTGTGGATTCCCGGGAATTAATGCCTGCTCGCTTCCCATAAATCCTCCGCTTGTGCAGTTAATACCGCGGCACCGAGGGAGGTCGGGAAGAGTCCGTAAATGAGCGGGTGCTGAGCAGGGCTGCGGGTGCCACACGGAAAGGGGCTCCCGGCAGGGAATGCGCGGGGCTCCCGCTGCCCGGGCGGGCACGGCGGCCGCTCCGAGYGCTGCGCCCCGCATCCTGCCGCGGCTCCGCACGGCTCGGCTTCCTGCTCGTGTTCCGGAAGGGCTGGAGCGGGAAATCCTGCCGCCGGGATGGGCCGGGCGCGCGGCGCCGGGGCGAGCCCGGGGGAATCAGCAGCGCCCGATGGGCAGCGCCTGCTTGGGGGCACCGGGCACAAACTTGGGGCTCGCCAAGCACCCAGGCCAGGGACTCGCCTCGTGGGGGGGTCACGCTGGATTTGGGGCTGAATCGCGGCATTTTCGCCACCTTGTTGACAAGGAAGTGTGATCTTTGCTCCCAAGCTGCCCCTGAGTCCTCGGCCGGTGCCAGCGCTGGTTCACGGCGCGTTGCCCTCGCYGCGTTTGCTGTTTATGCTGCCAGTTCAAGCGAGAAGCCGCGGGGTCATGAGCTCCTTGCACCACGTTGGGGCAGGGGAAAGAGTTGGCGCGTGTGCTTATATCTAAATGTATTCATATTTATGCATACGTGTGTGTATTAAAAAGTGCTTTGCATGAAAACGGGGGCCTCACAGCGAGCTGAGTGCATGGGCTGGGCTGCTGCAGGACGGTGGCACCTCGCAGGGACACGGGGACACGGGATGGGGCTGAGGCCTGCGCTCCGGCTCCATGGGATCTGGGGACCTTGCAGGGACACGGGGACACAGGGACACGGGACATGGCCGAGGGCTGCGCTCCGGCTCTGTGGGACCCGGGGACCTCAGGGGGACACAGGGACACGGGACATGGCCGAGGACTGCGCTCCGGCTCTGTGGGATCCGGGCACCTCATGGGGACACGGGGACATGGGACAGGGCCCAGGGCCACGCTCTGGCTCTGTGGGACCCGGGCACCTCAGGGGGACACAGGGACACAGGACAGGGCCCAGGGCTGCGCTCCGGCTCTGTGGGATCCGGGGACCTTGCAGGGACACAGGGACACGGGGACATGGGACAGGGCCCAGGGCCACGCTCCGCTCTGTGGGACCCGGGCACCTCGCGGGGACATGGGGACATGGGGACACGGGTCGGGGCCCAGGGCCGTGCTCTGGCTTGCTGGGACCCAGGCACCTCGCAGGGACACGGGGACGCAGGACAGGGCCCAGGGCTGCGCTCCGGCACTGTGGGACCCGGGCACCTCAGGGGGACACAGGGACACAGGACAGGGCCCAGGGCTGTGCTCTGGCTCTGTGGGACCCGGGCACCTCATGGGGACACGGGGACGCAGGACAGGGCCCAGGGCTGCGCTCTGGCTCTGTGGGATCCGGGCACCTCGCGGGGACATGGGGACACGGGGACACTGGCCGGGGCCCAGGGCCGCGCTCTGGCTCGCTGGGACCCAGGCACCTCGCTGGGACACGGGGACACAGGACGGGGCCAAGGGCTGCGCTCCGACTCTGTAGGACCCGGGCACTTTGCAGGGACACGGGGACATGGGATGGGGCCGAGGGCTGCGCTCTGGCTCACTGGGACCCGGGAACCTTGCAGGGACATGGGGACATGGGGACATGGGACAGGGTCCAGGACCGTGCTCCGGCTCGCTGGGACCCGGGGACACGGGACGAGGCCGAGGGTTGCGCTCTGGCTCTGTGGGACCTGGGCACCTCGCTGGGACCTGGGCACTTTGCAGGGACACGGGGACATGGGACAGGGCCCAGGGCCACGCTCCGGCTCTGTGGGACCTGGGCACCTCGCGGGGACATGGGGACATGGGCTGGGGCCGAGGGCTGCGCTCCGGCTCGCTGGAACCCGGGGACCTCGCAGGGACACGGGGACACGGGCCGGGGTCCAGGGCCACGCTCTGGCTCTGTGGGACCCGGGCACCTCACGGGGACCCGGGGACACGGGCACACGGGCCGGGGTCCAGGGCCGCGCTCCGGCTCTGTGGGACCCGGGCACCTCACGGGGACCCGGGGACACGGGCCGGGGTCCAGGGCCGTGCTCCGGCTCGCGGGCGGCAGCGAGAGCAGGGTGCTGCCGCCACCTGCCGCCGGGCCCTCTCCTCGCCACGGGGAAACRCGGCCAGCAGCCGGGTTATTTTATCCAAAGTTCAGCTTTATTAGTGCGGGGGAATTCTGGCTGCTCGGGATGCTCCCAAAGCGCCTGCGGGTGCAAGATTCCCTCCCTTCCTCCATCTGCCCTGTCCCTCCATCCCTCCGTCCCGAGGACCGCGCGGCACCGCCGGCCCTGGGCGCCCCTCGTCCTGCTGGGCGAAGGGCAGGCACCCGTGGGTGCTCAGGCGCTCAGCACCGCCTCGTTGGTGGCGTCGCGGACGCTCTTGAGGAAGCTGAAGATGGGCGAGCCCCCCGTGCCCCTGCCCTGCAGCCGCGGGGGCCCGCGCGCGGCCGCGGCGCCGATGTACGTGGAGACGACGGCGATGTGGCACGTCCTGAAGTYGGCCAGGGCGCCCACGCAGCGGTTGAAGGCACAGCGGAGCGGGGCGCTCCCGGCGCGCTCCACGTGCTGCCGGAGCGATGGAGCGCGCCGGATCTCCTCCACGAAGGCCCGGTGCGCCGGCGGCATGTAGTCCCGCATGCGCAGCAGGAAGGCGGCTGCGAGAGCCCGTYGGGAATGAGCCTTGGGTGCCCGTCGGGAATGAGCCTCRTGGGGAGCCCGTTGGGAATGAGCCTCGTGGGGAGCCCGTTGGGAACGAGCCTTGCAGGGACCCCATGGGGAATGAGCCTCGGGAGCCCGTCGGGAATGAGCTTTGCAGGGAGCCCATTGGAATGAGCCTTGCAGGGAGCCCGTCGGAATGAGCCTCATGGGTAGCCCATTGGGAACGTGCCTTGCGGGGAGCCCGTTGGGAATGAGCCTTGGGAGCCCATTGGGAATGAGCCTTGGAAGCCCATTGGGAATGAGCCTTGTGGGGAGCCCGCCAGAATGAGCCTCATGAGGAGCCCGTTGGAAATGAGCCTCATGGGGAGCCCATTGGGAGTGAGCCTTGGGAGCCTGTCAGGAATGAGCCTCGCGGGGAGCCTGTTGGGAACGGGCCTTGTGGGGAGCCCATTGGAATGAGCCTTGGGAGCCTGTCAGGAATGAGCCTCGCGGGGAGCCTGTTGGGAATGAGCCTTGCGGGGAGCCTGTTGGGAACGGGCCTCATGAGGAGCCCATTAGAATGAGCCTCATGGGGAGCCCACTGGGAATGAGCCTTGCGGGGAGCCCGCCAGAATGAACCTCATGGGGAGCCCGTTGGGAACAAGCCTCACACGGAGCCCGTTGGGAATGAGCCTTGGGAGCCCRTCAAGAATGAGCCTCGCAGGGAGCCCATCAGGATTGAGCCTCTTGGGGGGGGAAACCTCTGGGAATGAGCCTTGCGGGGAGCCCATCAGGAATGAGCCTTGGGAGCCCATYGGGAATGAGTCTTGTSGGGAGCCCGCCAGAACGAGCCTCATGGGGAGCCCATTGGAAACGAGCCTCATAGGGAGCCTGTTGGGATGAGCCGCATTAGCCCATCGGAATGAGCCTCGCGGGGCGCCCGTGGGTAAYGAGGCTGGCAGGGCGGCCGTGCCAGGCGGACTCACCGCTCTGCGGGCGGTGCTGGACGCCCAGGAGCTCGTCGTAGGCGTGCAGGACGCTGCTCTGCGCCGCGCTGCCGCCCGACAAGGCCAGCGGCTCCTCCGAGACGCCCTCGTAGAGCAGCCCCCGCGGCATCGCCGCGTTGTCCCTCCAGCTGCGCGGCACCGTCAGCGCCGGCAGCACCCGGCGCCGGAGCGCCGATCGCTCGGCCACTTACCCGGAGAGGAAGATGCGGATCACGGAGTAAAACACGCCTGGGTCCACGTGATCTGGGGAGAAGCGGGGGCGCGCTGGGTGCCGCGGCCACCCCTCGGCGGCGCCGCGGCGGGCGCCGGTGCTCACCGTGCATGCGCCGCAGGGCCTGTTTCATGTCCCCGATGGCCCCGGCCAGCTGCTGCAGGGCTCGGAGAAGCGCGTCCTCGTCGCGCTGCAGGACGGCGTTCACAGCCTGCACGATGGCCTGCGGCGGGGACCAGGGCACAGCGCGGAGGGTCCCGGCTGGAGCGCGGTGCCACGCAGGATCCCCCCGCGGCGCACCCAGAGCCCACCTTGATCCCGGGCACCGCCGCCTTCTCCACCAGGAGGGTGACGAGGATGAAGCCCCTGAGGCTCTCTCCCCCGGGCAGGGAAACGATGGGCTCCAGGTTCCTGCCACGGGAGCRAGCACCCTCATGGGTGACCTTGCCAGGACCCACTTGTGGGGGCACGCGAGGCCCCCCGGACTTACTCCATCTCCACGGGCCTGGCGGCGGTTGGGGCATGAGCAGCAGATGCGCAAGAGGAGAGAGAAGCCCCGTTAGGGCGGCGGCGGCGGCGAGCGGAGGGCGGCCCGCGCGGCCCGCGGCGCGTTACCCGCCCGGCGTGCGCCGCTGCCAGTTGGCCAGCACGAAGTCGGCGTGGCTGAGGATGGGCGGGAGGCCGAGGYGCCGCGACACCTCCCAGAAGGGCACGGCCAGGTTCCGGGGCAGCACCTGCGAGCGCGCCGGGGATCATGAGGATGAGGAGGGAGGTGCCAAGGCTGGTGGCAGGGGTGTGGGCTCAGCGGGGRCGTGGGTCCTACCTGCGCGGCGCCCTCCTCGCCCTCCTGCCAGACGTAGCCCATGGTGAGGAAGCCGAGCACCAGGTGCGCCAGGTGGAGCTCGCGGTGCCCGCTGAGCTCCCGYGTGCTCAGCTGCGGCATCTGCCCCGGAGAGCCCCGTGAGCGGCACGCGGGGACGTGGCGATGCGGGGACACGGGGCGCGCACAGGGA